TGCCTACATTAACATATCTTCGCGCTGTTAGTAAATCGACTAACATGAATCTGCAACTCTTGCGAAAAACTATTATGTGCCATAGTTATCAATAAACAACAGAGCCAATGTTAGGTTATTACCAGTCATTAGTATTACATTAAATGAATTTAATGATAGTTGTCAATCAGGTTCGCAGAAAATAAAACATAAAAATCCAGAATAAGCTTGCAATTTATTGTTTCCATCATAGATATGTTATATTAAAATCAGATCAGACACTGCTTTCAATACATAAATACATGCATGCATATTACAGTAAAGTTGAAGTATTGAACGAAAATGAAAACAAATGTATTGCGAACATTGATAAAATTGAAGTCTATATTATTATGAACATTACAAAATATCTACAACAGTGTAAAGTTACATTCGTCATATCCATACCAACACAATCGCTCACAATAAACCTACGCAAGGAACTTCGAGGCAAATAAATATACGATTGAATCATTACATAAATATTTTAACATTCGGTCAAATCTCACCGAGATATGCCTAGATTTAGAATAAAACGACGCTAATAACGTCAAGCATCACTAGAATCGTTAATTTTGGTTCAGTTTCACTGACCTAATACTAATAATAATACTATAATATACTTAATAAAGCTGGTCCTTATACACAGTCAAAACCGCGTTAACGTTACATTACTTAGGTACATTAAAAAACATGCAAAATTTATAACAAGTTGTCCCATCAGATGCGACACAGGGCTACACCCGGTCGCTTACATTAAATTGTACATTTACACTAGCAATGCCTAACTCGTTCAATACTCATCATCCCATCAACATCACTCTCAACTCAACATACTTCTTCACAATCCAATCGAAACGAAGACAAAACTCAACCCCAACTAAGGTTTCACCATAGGTTTGCGGAACTCATCATCATAAGTTTGAGCGAACGATGCGATCGCATTCAAACTTCCAAACTTAATTAGATAAACTTTCACAAATAATAAATAAAACCATCTCTTACAAATAACGAATCACAGATACCAATCGCAAAACCTTATACTAGGAGCCGCCTAGGTCTAATAGACCGCAGCGGCGCCGACTTAACCTAAACGCAGTCTTGACAAACATACAACCTAACGGGGCCCGGGGGTGTGTTTAGCATGCATTCATCGGGCCGAAGGGTTAGTCTGCACTCGGGTACTCATCTCGTTCACTATCGGATAGATATCACAGATGGTGTGGCGGCGCGGACGCGCGGGACTCCCGTTGTCGAGGTCGACGGAGCCCTGGTCGCGGGCGCTGCTACAGGTAGGGCACGCAGCCGGCGCAGCGCGAGCGGCCCGGCGACTCCGCGCGCGCCCTGCACACAAGCAGGAGTTAGCTTCCACTCATGAGGTGCGTTCCTCCCGCCGCGACTCGGAGCGCCCGAGCGCCCGCTTCAATTTCTCCACCAACCTGTTGTGGAACTTTTCTGGCTGCTGCGGTGTGGGGCTACCCGTGCTCTTGGGGCTGTCGTGGTGCCGCAGCGAGACGCGCGACGGCGGCGCGCGGCAGTAGGACAGCGAGCGCATGGCGGGCGCGCTGCGGTGCGGACTCAACGCGAGCCGTCCCGGGCCCAGCGCCGGGCCCTCGGACCGACTCTCCGACACCTTCCGCACCCGGCCCACCTTCTCCGCGGACTCGGAAGTGCGCCGCGAGCGCTGCGAGTTGTAAATGTCCCAATCGTTCTTCACCACGGGCATCATGAACGCCATCTCGACGGCGGTGACGGTGACTCCTGCGTTTCGAAGTTTCCGTTTTTGTAGCTCGCGCGCGACGGAGCCAGCGAGGATTGCACGCCGATCGATAGATGCTATCGCGGTCGCAAAGTTTGCCGGTGTTTATTTTTTTATTTCACTCTTTATTTATTTCTCTGTTTGTGTGGGAATTTAAAATGGCATACGGTTCTCTGAGAAACTGGGGTCACGGTTGTGTATGCTTTCACTTCAATGTCACTGGCACTGTACTGATTCGGATAGGATGTTCACCCTAGGACGAATTGCAGTAGAATGAGTATTTGTGAAAAGACACCCTGATTATAAGGAAAATATTGGCGCCACTGTCCCTGCGGCTGTAAATGACAAACTCTATCAAGTACTTTACCTCGATTATACGTATTCATTATCTAATTTTACTAAACAGAAACTAGTTAGATATAAAAATTTATTAAGTATCAATGAGTTTTAGTGTATTTTCTATTACGTATATTTATTGATAGCTCTAAAAATAGATAAGAAACACTACCATCTACGGGAAAAAGCACGTTATAATAGTATTGCTACTCCCTGATAGATGGCGCTACTTAGTAACAAAAATATAAGCTAACGTAACGCTAACTATTCGAACTTCGAAGCAACTGGATGTAACTTCTAGAAAATACAAATGAAGCTTGTAATATAGATGTCGTTACAAACGTTGGTTTCTTATCCAAATTGGGGATTTCCCTCACGTTTGTAGATACAAGTACAACCACTATCAAAAGTCATATTGCAAAAACACCATTTCTTCAAGTATAATTATATCCTATTAATGAATTATTTAAAAAATAACCATTTTGTTAACTTGTAAGTAGTGCCTGTATCAGTGAACATGTATACACGTGTCTATAACATAAATCCTTCTTATACTTTTGTATAGTCTTGTTCGTTCCAACGAATGTAGAGCAAAAGTATTTAAACAACTTTGCGAGTAGAGTTTTTATTTGTAATTTTTCATATATTATTTAATGAAATTAATTTTACCTGAAAAAATGCAGGTGAATGTATTGAGAAATGCCTTTCGTGAATTATTGCGTGGGAGTTGCGGTAAAGATTTTGTTTACTTTTGCTCTACATTCGTTCGAATCTGCATACACTGCCTATATGAAATCTGCACGTATATTTTATTACTATTATTTTCGGAAATAATATGATGAAATAAGTACATAAGAGATTGCGCCATTAAGCGCAACTTTATGTAAGATTCGCAGATCAGATTGCTGAAGTATTTGAAAAACTAAAAAACTTATTTTTTCTTTGTGAACGACTGAATTTACGACACAGACTGCGAAAGAACATTCACCGAATCACACCAAATATTCTTAATCATATTTACCTGTAAGAAAATTATAAGTAGGTACTAACTTATTATCCTTTAAAAAATCCTGTATATTCTTTATTTATCTGTAGGTGGGCTCCACAGAAATTTCAGCTTCAGACTGGATGTTAGGCCCCTGTCCTAGCTCTATCAAAAGTTGACGTTAGAGGCAGGGCCGGATCTACCATATGGCTTTTTGGGCTTCAGCCCAGGGCCCCGTGGATTCAAGGGGCGAAAATACATTGTTGAATATAAGTCCATTAATATTGCCCCTATAAAGGGAGGAGCAAACTAAAGAATTTGCCATTTCTGCACTTTGTAGAAAGGTTTCTTTGTAATTTGTCCATTTATTAACGATTGTATAACACTAAGGCATAATATATTATAATTTAAATTAAATAGTTAACTTAGTAATTTTTACTACACTTTGAGTAATTAGGTGGGCCCCTAAGTACTATTAGCCCAAGGCCCCCTAAAGTCACGGTCCGGACCTGGTTAGAGGTAAAGCACAGGCCCTCCTAGTAGGCATCATTATCAGCCTATTAATGTCCCCAATGCTGGGCCACAGGCCTTCCCTATCGATGGAATAGGGAGATTGGGCCGTGACCTACCACGCAGGCCCAGTGCGAATTCGTAGGTGCTAACGACTGCAGACGCAGCCGGGACAAACGACTTCACGTGCCTTTCGAAGCACGGAGGAGCTCGAGATAGTTTTTCGGTCACCCATCAAATGATCGACCACTGCAAAAGTAGCTTAACTTCAACGATCGCAGCCGAACGAGCTTACCAATTGCGCCACGAGCTCTTCATACCTTAGGCAGTAGGCGTCATACCTTTTGGTTATTAACAGCAAAGATATAAGCATGCGAGTGTTAATACGCTGCTTGGAAGTACCTCTCTTTGTATTGAAATATTCACAGCTCCGTAAACGTAACGCATCGTCAAAGTTTCTTTAAAAACTAGGCAGCGCCCCTCGCTAACATAAGAACAACTAAACTAGCTGCTACCGTAGAAACTTTGACATCTTGTTACGAATAATTTCCCTCGCTAATTGTTTGTGCTTGGTGTACTCTACCCCTAGCACGAGCCAATATCTAATTCGAATAATATGCGAGTAATGTTATTAACCAATTTTGTATAGAAAGGACATTGCTCGTCCCTTATCCCCATACATTGAATGCCCTACAACGCACAGCAATGAGAAAATGCTAGTTGTGTTCGGAATCATTCATAAACTCTAATTAGGCATTTGTTGAGATACGGACAACTTGAGGAACCGTGGCCTACTACAGAATGTATTAGATTTGGAGGTTATAATTATTATACTTAACCGTAAAAGATGTACACTTTATATATTCTGAATAGATTTACTGTTTACCTTTATGTAAGCACTTAAATAATATGGATTAAATGAACATAAAATGCAATTAATAATAAAAATAATAAATGCATATATTCATACTGATTTATGAATGTTGGCAGTAACCTGTAGTAATAATAGATTTCTTTTCAAATGAAATGTTAATGTATTAAATGTAACTCCACGACAACGCGCATAAATTAATTACATTATCTGCTAACTAATAATAAGTACCTACTAACGTACTGATCATTGGGAATGATTTTAACATTCACCTAATAAATAATCTTTGTTTCTAAAATAGTTGTAAATCACTAAATAATAATAAAACTCGCTTACCTAAATATTAATTAAGATTGACTAGGAAATTATATAAATCATGCCTTGGATATAAATATTAATAATATTACGGTATTGCAGATTAGTGACAGATCTAAACTTAGGTGACAGAAAATATAGTTGCCCTAATCATTATTGAACAGTGAAAGATATTTTTCAATAAATGGAATACAAAAAAAACAATATTCCTTAAAAAGTGTATTTATTAACTGGTTTTAATAAGACCCAACAGAGATTTCATACATAAAGTTACAACTTGATAATATAACAAAAATGAGTATTATTATTATTTAATAGTACAAGTGGTTTTCATGCATTGACCATGTTAATGTAGGTTCATATTTATTATATATGTACCTAGTTCTTACTTCATTTCGTAATTTTAGTGCACCTTAAGTTTACCTTTTTTAATACTAAAGAAAATATTGCTAGGAAAAAATCCACGCGGACTAGGCAGCAGACGGGACTCGAACCCGCACCATTCGCTATCCCGGCGAGTGCATTGACCAATTATGCTACCGCGGCCCTGACGGCCGTGTCGAATTCTTTCTAACCTTTCTTAAGCTGTAAAGCAGCGCCATCTCTTCGCATTGTAGGTAACCCACAATGTTAATTAAATACCTTTTCAAGTATTAAACATTTGAAAGAAGAAATAGCAATTATAGTTGTAATAAAATAAAAATATAAATACTAATGTTAATTTTACTCTCGACTCCATAACTATACTTCCGGTCACATCTATCGGCCCTTAAAGCAATTAAAGTTTGGCGGTCCCTAACTAAACTTAAATGTTACATTGAACAAAAAGTTATAACCTACGCAGTTTTGTGGCTGATTTATTAACAATATTTTCGTGTTTTTACCCGGCTGCGCAATGCAAGAGCGCGAAGCGCGACGCGCAGACAGGGTTATGTGTTTAACAGTCTATATATGTATGTTTGTTCCTTTTTTAAATTATTGTTCAACCATAAACATATATTTTTGCTACAGACCGTTGAAACATATTGGTAACACCACTTGATGTGTCCGGAAGTATGATTCTGTAATCATTCTTAGACAAAACATAGAATGATTTTCTATAATCATATCACAATTATCGAAAACTGTATATCACAATCAAATGCAAACAAATTCCACCTTTAAAAACTGAACCACTTTCTATTTTAACTGTACATAAATGTAGTATTACATAGTAACACGAACACTTAAAAATAGCTTATTTTATATAATTGGTGGGGATAATAATATCACATCTTCAATTTATTAAAAAGACATTGCCTAAGTTTGCCCCATAAACAGCTTTAACTAGAAACATTTTGATCCATACCATTGTAGTCTGTGCGGAAAAAGAATGGGATTTATAAACATATGGCCGCTCTTATTTCTTTTGAAATGGCAACCTAACACGCAACACCCTGGTATCACTTCTAAAATTATTAATATTTGCAAAACATAACAAATTCTATGACTGAAACCATCGCCAAAAAACTTAAGTTCATTTCTAATGTTCCCGGGTTTGTATTACCCAGTATTATTGAGTTGAAATATATTATTCGTAGTTGAAATAAAATATACAGCATTGATATTATGCTCATCTCTGATATTTCCAGGCTCATAATACCCGTTAAGGTTGAACATGGCCAGTAATTCCTCCAGATGGCGCTGGTAGTAGATAGCTAACTTCTCGAGACGTTGTTAATTGTAATAAACGCAACACTATAAAGATGCTGTTTGAAAGTATGAAAAATGGCTAAATACAGATGCCAATGAATATAAGCAGCGATTTTTCGATTACTAACAAATAATTAGTAACTTTTTTTTTTAAATATTAAAGAATTGCCTTTTTTGTGCACGTGACCGATAACGCTTGGGATTAGTGAATACTAAAATGACGTCACGCGCTAGTAAAACTGCGGTAAAATCACTTTAATCGGAGGTTTACTAGCGTGTGACGTCATCCATTACATTTTAATGACAGTCGTGTGACGTCACATACTAGTGACACGCCATATTGTCCAGAGAACTTTTTCGGGACAACTTGTTTTTTTTTAATTTAGTATTTTTACTGAAATTCCTAACACATTGATGTATGTAGAATATTAAATAGATGTTGCTCATTGATATAAACACGACACTACAAAGACGGTTCAATTTCGAAATCAATATTGTCAATAACATTGACAATATGTTTATCCCTTATGTTTAATTAGTAGATACAGCACTAATATTATGTTCATCTCTGACATTTCCAGGCTCATAGTACCCGTTAAGGTTAACCATGGCCAGTAATTCCACTAGATGGCGCTGGTAGCCGCATTCCATGAGCTTGGTCACCACTTTGTGCAAGTATTTGGCCAGTTTCTCAAATAAATGGTATAATTCGTCGAGCTGACTGAAACTGGAGTGAGTGAATGGCCCATTCGGTTCTAGCTGATGCCATTCGCTGAAAATTAAAAAATAATTTAGTTTACTATCTATAATCTAGTTTCGCTGGAAAAAACCTTTTCCTGCAATTTATTACTAAAGTGATCTGTTCAAAAACAGTGAATTTCAGCAACGACATTGTGCATAGCATAATGAACTTTATGTCAATTGTATAAGTTACATACTAAATACGAGCCGGAAAAATCGTCTCGTGAATTCCCTCGTATTTCGCCCGTATTTAGTTTATATGTTAAACAATTGATATAAGTACATTATGCCATGCACAATTATAGCAAAAATTTTATAGCATAGTTACAAAGATATGAAGCGTTAACTGATGAGGAGATTGTGCGAGCGGCTATGTGTGAGGACGATGAGCAAGATGAGGGCAATAGCGTTGAAATTCTAAAAATCACAAAAGTTGGTAATTCAGAGGCAATAGGAGCTTTAAACACTGCTTTAAAATGGGCTGAAAATAACGAATTTGATAGCCACGAAGTTATGTTTCTCCGTCGACTTAGAGACCGGGCTTTCGAAATGAATTGTGAAAATTATGAACAGAAGAGTATTACAGACTTTTTCAAGAACAATTAACTAATGTTTTATTTTAACTTACTGATTTCCTTACATACTTGTAATTTTGAACATGTACATTTTGTCTTTATGCTTTGTTTTTTTTTAAACATGTGTTTTATTAACATTTTTATTTTTTTATAGATAGATCCGACAAATGACTCCACCTCACCTGATGTTAAGTGAAGGTGAAGTCCAGACGCGAAGATAGCTGATACAGCAGTTCTAACTGCCACACCAGCCATCCTCACCCTGCCGGCCTGCAAGTTGCTTCATTTAATATGGCATACTATCGATATATACGATAATCCGGAAAGGGTCTTGTTTTTGCCTCTCCAGATTAACGAGACCCTACTGTATATGTATTCTATCCATTACCCTAGCATCCCTTAACACAAGCCTTATAGCGCTTCTTTGGGGCTAGGCTAATTAGTGTATTTAAAACAATATGAGTAGTTTTAATCGTTATTTTAAAATGCATGATTCAAATACAAAATAAGCAGTAAACAAATGACGTTTTGGTGATTGATTTGCAACAGTACAGTGTTTTCAAGAATCTTATCTAAAAAAAGTTAACTAATTAAATAAAGTATGGGTGCGGCCAGAGTGCACTCAGATTCAGATTCAGATTGAGATTCAGAAAACAAGCGCGAGAAATAAACAGTGTAGTCTAAGCAGGTTGCCTGCTTTTTCTCGCGCTTTGTTTTCTGAGTCTGAATCTGAATCTGAATCAGGAGTGCACTCTGGCCGTACCCTTCGACTACACTGTTTATTTCTCGCGCTAGTATTCGGAATCTGAATCTGAGTGCACTCTGGCCGCACCCTATCGAAGCAAATTTGTAATATTAATTTTACACTGTAATGACATAGTCTTAAGTAAGTTTCGCTACTATTTATTTATTTTTTTGACGTTTCTCTTGCCTGCTCTTTCGTACTTCAGAAGTCCCGAACTGTGATAGCAAAAAAAATGTGTAGGACTATCGAAACAGTTGTTACATATTCATTCATTCATTATCAGTAACCGGGACCAACGGCTTAGCGTGACTTCCGAAGCACGGAGGAGCACGAGATAGTAAATTTTAGTCACCCATCCAATGACCGACCACTGCAATCATCATCATCATCAGCCTATTAAAGTCCCCACTGCTGGGGCACAGGCTTTCCCTTTAGATGGAATAGGAAGATTGGGCTATGACCCACCACGCAGGCCCAGTGAGGATTAGTGGGTGCTGACGACTGCAGATGCAGCCGGGACCAACGGCTCAACGTGCCTTCCGAAGCACGGAGGAGCTCGAGATAATAAATTTTTGGTCACCCATCCAATGACCGACCACTGCGAAAGTTGATGAAATCCACGATCGCATCCGAACAAGCTAACCACTTCTCCTCTACTTTTATGTGTAAGTACATACAAGTCTTATAAATACCTTTTCAAAGGACTTACCCCGCTTTTAATACTCGGCTAAACTTCAATATGACCGTAAACATATCATTCAAGAGCTTCATCACTGGCGTAGACCTGTTATTCAAGAGACATCTAAACAGCACTTTCTTTATATAGACCACGTGGCAATCGTAAAGGTCGTCCAAAGTTCTGGCTTTCTTCAAATCGCTTTCGAACTCAGTCCAAGATGTGAGAATGCAAGTGGTCACTATGTAGTTGTCTAGAGCTCGGATCATCGATGCCATTATGTGTCTGTATATTTGCACAGTTATATATTGGGGCGATCTTATTAAACGTCTGGAATGCTGTTTCGATAGTTTAACTGCCAACTTTAAAGCCTGAAACGATGGGTGAATGTTACACACAAGGGCGGATCCAGCTTTGGCGCCAGGGGGGGGTCATATAGCCAGCTTTGGCTCCAGGGGGGGGGGGGGTCATATACTCGTGGTATATTAAATATTGAAAGTACTTAAATAAAATCCCCCTGGGTTTGGTCCATCTGTACCCAGCCCAGGGGGGGGTCATGACCCCCATGACCCCCCCTGGATCCGCCCTTGGTTACACATGGGGAAGAAATCGCAAAGCTCATAACAGATTGTGCTTTGTGATGTGATGACATATGACGATTATCTGACATGTTAAAATGGAATGAAGGTTTTAATATGATTGACATTAATGTGACTAATTACAATATTAATATGCATTGGATTTATTATAAAATATTGGATATTTAGCGAATCATGTTTGAGCATCATATATAATGTAACATCTTTTTATTGTACCATGTTTCTTGTAAATAAATATGAATATGAATATTGGCCGTTTGGCCCATAACAAGCAATCTGTCTGTCTGCCTGTCTGTCTGACTGCAACTTTTCACCCTGATGTTTCAATATTGATATAAAATGTATGAAACTTATGGCAAATTTGACATTTGTTTCACCTGAAGCGTAGGTTTGGAACGCAGTGCAAATCTATCGGAATTTGTCGGTTTTCTTTGTGATTTTGACAGTTTGCTCGATATGTTGTTATTAGCCATTCATCACCTACGCCTCGGGTGGAATAAATTGACAGTTTTCTTCCCCATTATATCAAAACCATATTAATTACCTCAAAATCTTCACTGAGCGCCCAAAATATTCTCCTCATCTTAAGAAGGAACTGGAACACCCTTGCATACCTGAAATTATATTATACAGGAATCCGAAATCAACTTAATCTTAATATATATAAATCTCGTGTCACAATGTTTGTCCTCAATGGACTCCTAAACCACTGAACCAATTATAATAAAATTCGCACACCATGTGCAGTTCGATCCAACTTGAGAGATAGGATAGTTTAAATCTCAAATTATAGTCGCAATTTTAATTTATTGCAAATTATTACTTTTGGGCGGTACGAAGTTCGCCGAGTCAGCTAGTAAAATATAAGAATTAAACAACTATTATAATATATGGTGAGTATTTAGTTGCAGAAACAAATAAATTTTCGTAGTAAGTTTTAATTTTGATTCAACAGCTATTTAGAAAAGTTTTTAAGGTGTATGTGCATTTAATACAAGTCATCATACATGCCGGCACTTAACTTTGCTATTCATATTTGCTATTTGTAAACTTGACAACAGCCTGTCCTTATTTGCTTTATAAGGAATGAAAAGGACAGACTGATGTCAAGTTGACAAAAAGCAAACATGGATTAGGGGCCGTCCATATATTACGTGATTCTAAATTAGGGGGGAGGGGGGGGGTCTGCCGATGACGGTAAATGATAGATGGGGGGGGGGGTGTTTCGAAATTGACGTCATTCTTATTTATTTATTTATACTTTATTGTTCACGTACAAAATGATTATTTCTAAAAAGAAATTTCTTCCTAGTAAGTGAGACTGCAAATGTGAGAGGCGGCTAAGGCACGTACAATACTAAAATAACTCATAATAAACGTACATAATGCAACATAGATGTACACAAATACAGTAATAACTACAGATAAAATACTCTAACAATAATATTACATATAATACTAGCTTTTCTCAAATCTGCAATGTTTTAATTTTGTCAAACTGGTAATGACGTCAATTTTGGGAGAAGGGGGGGGGGGGTCATTAAGAAATGACGATAGGATGATTGTAGGGGGGGGGGGTCTAAAATCTGAAAAAATCGATGACGTAATTTATGGACGGCCCCTTACCAAGCCAAGCCAAATTAGCATCTGTATTTAATATAAATATTTGCAGCGATTTTACTAGTCTGAAAGAACAAATAATTAATAACTTTTCTATAAAAACATTAAATAGAAATTATTTCTTTGCTCCATGGTCACGTGACCGAAAACGCCTGAGATTGGTCAAGACTAAAGTGACGTCACATGCTAGTAAACTTCCGGCCACAGTGACTTTACATTATATTGTTTGACGTTTTAATGACAGTCGTGTGACATCACACACTAGCGAGACGCCATAATATCCGGAGAAACGTTATCGCGGCAAATTGAAAGTGGTTTTCTTTATTGAATTACACAACAATATGATAAATATCCATCCATCTTTTATGGACTCCATAAACATTAGTTAATGGCGTGAGATCGTTTTCTAAAACTTGTCAAATGCCCTATTGTTGTAGCGGAGAACCAGTAGAATTAATGTTGGTAAAAATGAAGTTCGTTATTACGAACACAATGGATTTGTTTTCACACCCATCTAAAGTTAATAGATCAAAACCAAAACAGAAATCACAGGAAACGCAATGATAATTTTCATAGAAAACCATATTTTTTTGATAAATCAAAATAAAGAAAAAACACCAAAAATATTTATTCCTCACAATATTCTCTCCAAACAATTACGAAATAGAAATATTCTTTTAAGCATTTTTATGCTTGTACCAAGGGATCTCGCTTTTCCTGTTCATAAAATTAAATTATTATGATAATAGCCAGCTTTTACAAAACAAAATTTAGTATTAAAGTAAATTCTAAAAAAAACAATACAATACCATCATCAGTCATTCGTGGATGAAATAAAAGTTTTTTCTTAAAAAAAACTATAAAGAAGTAGAATTATCAAAAATATCGGTAAGAAAAGGGGTGATGACGGGATAAAGTAAATTAATTCTATTTAGTCCGTCAGTTAGATTATCAGAAAATAATGGACACATATATTTCGTTTGTAAATCAATCAAAAATTACAAAGGTCAAAGTCAAAGTTTAAGAGTATTGGATCGTGACGTCACTTCTAAAAAAAATCGAACCGTTATGACTAGGGTTGCAACGATATATCGGAATATCGATAATATCGAGACCAAAATATCGATATTTACATCGATATTTAAAATTCCCTGATATCGATAATATCGATAATATCGATATCGGAAATTCCAAAATATCGATATTTCGTAGACTAAATTTGAACACAATGATATCAATTAATTTACTTGCTATGACTATCTAAATTGAATAATATCGAAATAACTAAATTGAATAATTGCTTTGAAATCGCAAGAGCTTATAGATGTATTAAAAAATCTTGAACCCCAAGAAATATACTAAACTAGTGTGGATTCTGGCATGATTCTCTAAACCTAAAATTAAATTTGACAACAGTGTATCCTTGTCATTCTCTATACAGAATGAAAAGGATAGACTGATGTTAAATTTAGTTTTAAATTTAGATAATCATGCCAGAATCGACACCAACGTATATAGGTATAATCGTATACCTAATGGTAACTCATGCACTTAAATAAAATCCTTGCCTCTCTTTCTAGATAATTGTCAACTACTGATTAATTGAAATTTTAATCATTGTAATATAACACAAAATAAAATTAAGAATCTTATACAAATCGTAATTTTTTTAAGCTCGCCAAGTCAAGAAAGTAAGATAGGTATAGTAATTTTGGAAGCTTTGGGCTTACCCTATTCTGAAGCCTGATGTGTGGGTTTTACTAATTCATAACAATTGTTTTTCATATGATTATCTATTCTGATTTTGGCTGCGTGCAAATATTTTAAACAAAATAAATATCTTTGATTCGAAATTGCTTTTGATTTGATACTTCTTACAGCGCTATAAAAATATAGAAAATATCGTGTTGGAAATGTTGGAATGGCTGATATATCGGATCGGATATCGATATTTACCTGCCCACATTATAAATATCGATATTTCGGAAACCTTTGCTTCCTTAATTTTAGGTTTTTGCTTTGCAAACTTAATACAAAGCAAAAAAAAGAAAAAAATATCGATATATCGATAATATCGAGTTAAAATGGTCGATATATCGGATATCGATATTTTCCTGACTTCGATATAAATATCGATATAAATATCGATATTTCAAAAGACTTTGCATGCCTAGTTATGACGTCATGCGATATTTCAAATAACAATATCAATGTAATTTTTTGATTGTGTGAAAAAAGAAAAATACGTGTATAATACTTTTTTTATTAGTCTTCCTGATAGGCTAAGAAAAAAAAGTTAGTTATCATCCCTATTGTAATTATAAATTAACTAGCGGCCGCCTGCAACCTCGTCCGCGTTAACTTTGGTTTGTTGAGAATCATTTTTACGGGATATAAAATATACTATGACTCAATCCAGATCATAAACTCTATGTGTAACAAATATCATCCAAATCTATTCAGTAGTTTTTAAATGATAGAGTGACAAACATACAAACTTACACATTTATAATATTAGTAGTATTAAATGAAACAGTTTTTATTTAGTTTGTCGAGCTACCCTCGAAAGACTATTATTGAATGTCTTGTTTTATTTAATGAGTGATGTGCGTGAAAACCCAAGAAACAAATATTTATAGAATTATTTCCCATACCTGAGTGAGGCCTCTTGTGATAGAATAATGTTGAGGGGCCATCGCACTTGGTATGAAAGCGCTAGGCATTGAAGGACGTCGGGCGAGCTGTGCTGCAAGCTCAACGGTACATCCGTTAAGCTAAACGACAGGTTCTCAGAGAACTTGTGTACGTCTGTACGGACAAATAATATGGGCTGTTGTTACAGACTCCTTATATGACGGTCGCTAGTCAAAGCTAGCATACATCAGGTACATTAGTTAAGCTAAACGACAGATTATCAGAGAACTTGTGTACGTCTGTACGTTACGTACGTTTGTCACAAATGCCCCTTAGCGTCGATTCTAGCATGATTCTCTTAATCTAAAATTTAATTTGACAACTGTATCCTTGTCATTCTCTATACAGAATGAAAAAGAAAGAATGATGTGAAATTTAGTTTTAAGTTTAGAGAATCATGTCAGAATCGACACCATTAAATGACAAACTACATTGAAATTTGACAGTGAGATCCACGGCGCAGGTGGTTAGGTAAGCACGTCCAGTCTGCAATCGTGGAAGTTAAAATTAATATCCCCACTTCTGAGGCACAGAAAGATCGGCTCGTGATTCTCCACTATTGATGGATGACCAAAGCTTTAACGCGCCTCCCAAAGCACGGTGGAGCTCAAGATTATACGTTTTTGGTCACCATTCCAATGACCGGCCATTGAGAAAGTTGTTTAACACGCCAAACGCGCTAACCAACTGCGCCATCGAACACGTTTCTCTCTCTCCATGCAAAAATTTAAAAATTACTCACGCGATATCGATGACCCTAAAGCCTTATCCAAAATATTGTGCAGAGTGGCGAAATTCAACAACTCCTGTGGATTGACCGTCTTCTCCAACTTCGTGAACAGATTGTGGCAAATGCTCCTCGAGAATTCCCCGTCCATCAAGAAGAAATAATCCTTCAAACTCCTCAAATGTTCGTACATATCGAGATTCACCAAAAAGTAAGTCAATATGGAGTTGTTGACCACTTCCAACTGATAAGTGAGAGGTAACATGACTGAACGTTGCAAACAAGCGCTCAAAGTCGCTATATTATTGCTGTCGATCTTTCTATCTTTGTCATCGTCAGTTTTGAAATGTGTCGCGAAGATATTCGTGTATGGGGGCTTTTTAACTTCCTCCATTGTGATAGCGGGATGGGTGTAGCAAGATGACTCGGAATCCATTCGACAGCTGAAGAAATCTTTGGAATACTTCTTGAAGTCTTTCACGCTGAACGGATCGAATTCTTCAAGACTATAAGTGCCGTCTAGCAAATTGAAAATCGAATAGTGTTTCGAGGAAGCGATAACTTCAGAATCTATGCTTTTAGACGGGGAATTCCCTGGACTTTCTGTGTTCACTTCGCTAACAGTTTCTACTGCGTCTTCGTCCTCTACGACGGGGAAATTGAAACCGTCGCTGGTTCGGAATTGCTTTTCATCTTTGTCCGTCGATTCTATGTCTTTGATGAACTCGCTGCGAGGCGTGAATGCATCACCAGTCATGGCGCCTTCTAATGGCACATCGGCCGTAGTCGGAGTTTCTAAGTCGAGCTGAAAAGGCGCATTTTAGAATTGTAATTTGAAAGAACGAAAGAAAAAAAGAACTTCTAATCTCGTCAAAGTACACGGCCATATTTGTATTTGTATGTGGATATTTAGCATTTTGAGGTTTAGAACCAATTTTAGATTAGAAGATTTCAAAATCTAAACTGACTAAATCTTTAATTGAAAATAATGCGAAATTCTAAGATATAATTTTTCAAAAGCATCTTTAGTAAGCATAACGTCTAATTGTGGATCTTTAGTTAGATCCTAGGTAATATAAATGCGTACTTATAAAACAAGGAATTAAAATTACTTTACCCGTGGGAAAAGTTCTCCAGGCGTGACCGCTCCAGTATTGGGACTGAGCCCTAAATTAGATCCCATAGGTTCTCCATACGGTTTCAAATTTAATGTCAGACCAGACCTTTTGGCTATCTCACTTCTTGGAGTGACTTCAGGCATCCTCGTGTCATAATCAGAACCCAGTACTTTAATTTTATTCCTCAATGCTTCTTCTTGTGCTATATTAGCAGGTTCTTTCCTAGTTATTTCTAGTGGAAGATTGTATTCGACTCCCAGTACTTTTTGTTTGTTGATCAACGCTTCTTCCTGTGCTATATTAGCTGGTTCTTTCCTAGTTATTTCTAGTGGAAGATTATATTCAACTCCCAGCACTTTTTGTTTGTTGATCAACGCTTCTACTTGTGCTATATTAGCTGGTTCTTTCCTAGTTATTTCTAGTGGAAGATTGTATTCAACTCCCAGCACTTTTTGTTTGTTGATCAACGCTTCTTCCTGTGCTATATTAGCTGGTTCTTTCCTAGTTAATTCTAGTGGAAGATTATATTCAACTCCCAGCACTTTTTGTTTGTTGATCAACGCTTCCTTCTGAGCATCAGTCTTTGGTTCCGAAACATGTCTTACTTCAGGTTTTAAGCCGAACTCATCACCTAAAACTTTAAGCTTATTCCGCCGTGCTTCTTCGTATTGTGACCACTCTTGCATATTATTTTCTTTGTCAACATTTGTCGTTTTAATGAGGGGATATTTCATTTGATTGTTCTCTTTATCTGTTTTTTCGAATTCGTGGGACATAACTTTTTGCTTGTTCAACAAAGCTTCATGTCTCATCTTCAGAAACTGAATATTGTCGTAGTCTTCGTTTAGGTCATTGCCGATCACTCCACTAGATGTGACTGTTGCGTTATCATTGGAATTGACTTCTGTATCACCGCAAACGATATTGCCTTGAGCATCTAAATTCTGTTTGTTATCACAATTCTTGTCGTCGGCAGTTTTTCTAACGCTAAATATACTTTTGGCCGCGTTGCATATAACACTTAGAACAGCGCTGGAGGTTTGAGACTTAGTTACAGGGTCTTGAGTACTCTTTTCTGTTTTTGCCGTCTCATCAACAGTAGCATTTTCAAAATTATCACCTTCTTCTTTAGACTCAATATCAGTATTATAATCCTGAGTTATCGACATTGCCATCTCCCCATTCTTTTGATGCTCCAATTCTAGTTTTTCTCTCTTTAAATTCCTTTCTTCCGTAGAAAGCAGCTGTATCCTGCTTTGGTCCAGTTGTAATCGTTTGATTTTCCACTCGGTATGAATTTTGCTCTTCTCGACCTCCATGTTGAGTTTTGAATAATACTCCATTATTTTGTTTCTGAGAAAGTAATAGGATTTGAATATACGTATCTCGATGAGGATCATTACTAAGTCAGCAAATAAACTTACTTTTTACTTCTTACTTATAAAATTAACAGTATAATGATCTAATAAGCTTTTTAATTAATATACTTTTTAAATCATCGAAATTGGGTCATTCGTTGCGATTTTATAAGTATTTTTATGGTAGCTAATATTCAGCGGCGGACGAAACGTGTAACGTCACAGAGCTCAATCGTGGTTCACTCCGGTCGAACTTCATTAGCGTCTCTACACACGCTCGCGTCCGAGCGCTAGAGCTCTGTGACGTCACTACGCGACCAGCCAAACATTCGTTTAGTAATTTGGTCAAAACTTCGTCAATATTTTTTGTCGTAGAACAAAAATTTAACCACTGTATTTTATGGAATCATTAGCTCTATAAATCTGCATTATCAACTAAAATCGTTACGGATCCTCATTGTGTTCATCAAAATTCTCGTGTCACGGAGTGCGTAATTGAACTACTCCGAAACGGCTCGACCGATTTTTGTGAAATGCATATTCAGTAGGACTGAGAATCGGACAACAACTATTTTTCATCCCCCTAAATGTTAAGATACATCATACAAAATACATACAACCCTAAATTTTCACCCTTCTATCACCAACCGGTACATTTTATGGCGGTACGAAGTTCGCTGGGACAGCTAGTCTTATCTTATATATAAAATTCTCGTGTCACAATGTTAGTTACCATACTCATCCGAAACGGCTTGATCGATTTTTATGAAATTTGGTCAGCGAACTCATATATTTATATAATTTTACACTATTGAAAAACCTTTTATTTTCTTAAAATAAACATGATATTTCTTTAATGTTATAAAATTGAACAAAAAGAACAATCTTTAGCTTGTAAAGATTTCTTTAAGAGTGTTTTGTTATTAATCAATGCAATGCTTTATCAAACAGTACAATCCAAGATTTAAATAAACTCTTACCTTTCGTCGTCCCTCAGTTTGGAATCGACCTGATCGCTCGCTCGCTCCGCTTCCCTCTCCAGCTGTGAGCGACGTCTCTCCCGCTGCCTCGTCTTAAGCTTGGCCGCTTTCGCTTCAGCCATAGCGGCCTCTAGTACGCGCAACGAGTGCTGCTTCTCCGCGATTATCAACTGGGCCAGTCTTTTACGTTCCGCTGCCAAAAAATGATTCTCTTTTTTATATGAAACATAAAATGAACCACTTTTTGAACGGAACGAACCAGTTTTTACATTATTTTTGACGTTTCTGAAAGGTCCCATTATACCGGCGCGTTGTTCGCAAGTAAGCATTTAACTTATGGCCAAAAGGGCCCCTTATCTTACTTGAAAATATTTATATATTTTTGAAACCTATTATATCGGAATGCAACGATACCGATAGGATAATCGTATATCGGCGATTATCGTAAATTTTTACCATCATTCGGTATCACAAACATTACGATATGATTTATAAGATTTATTATTTTCTAATATTTTTACATTTTTACAGTAGTTACTAAACGAAACGCATAACGTGTCAATGCCTAAACGCACCCATCCCTTTTGTTTGACATTGACAACTGGGACACAAAAAAATTAACAAAAAAAAATAAACAATTAAATAAGATATTTTTTTTACTAAGTCTTAATCTAATATATAAAGTTCCCGTGTCGCGGTATGCGTAGTTGAACTATTCTGATCGACCGATCTTCGTGAAATTTTATATATATATTCAGTAGGTCTGAGAACCGGACAATATCTATATTTCATCCCCCTAAATGTTAAGGGTCCTTAAATCCTTAATTTTTTTTTTAATATGCGCCATACAGGCATACACACAACCATAAATTTTGACTCTTCCACCACAAACCCCTATTTTTATGGCGGTACGAAGTTCGCTAGCTCAGCTATAGATTTTTTTAAATTATATCAGTATTGATATAATAACACAAAAAAATATAGAAACAATCTCCAGATAAATTCAATAATAAACTATAAAACTCAAATTGTAATGCATTCGTATCGTATTTCTTTATAGTATTGGGCCAATACGATCTATTCGTCAGTCTATCGTAAAAGGCGTATTCATTGCATCCCTCATATTATATCTTTATATTATGTCGTAGAAGGAAAGCAAGGAATCCCGCACATTCTTAGAAACAAGAAGGATACGAAATAGCGTAAATGATTAACTCACGAACAAACGTCTCCTAGAGACGTAATATCCTAGAGAAAGAGTTTCATTTACTTCCTACAAACAAGTAGTAATCGTTATGTTTTTATTTATTTTTTAAGCATTTAACTGCTAGATGTTAGATTTTAGACATTGTGGGTTACCTACAATGCGAACAGATGGCGCTGTCTTGCAGCTTAAGGCTAGGAAAATTTCGACGCGGCGAATAGGGCCGTGGTAGCATAATGGTCAGTGCATTCGCCCGGATTGCGAAGGATGCGGGTTCGAGTCCCGTCCGCTGCCTGATCCGCGTGGATTTTTTTCTAGTAAACTTTTCTTTAGATTTAAGTAGTAATCGTTCTTCTTTATAAGAATAAAGCAACGAATTAGAAATGATATGGAAACGTTACTCTCTAACAAAGGCCGCTAAAACAGGTTTCCAAACTCATACAGCTAAACTTTAATACTAATGAGACACACAGACCATACAAAATATTTTTTCAAATCAATTATCCGAAAATGAATTCGGTTATCCATTAATTGAGTAAGCTTATGTTAAATGGCAATCCCACCCAATCCCAGGATCGACGTGTTGATCGCAGTTTTTTCGCCCCGCCCACTTGATCGCAGTTTGCGTGGAACCATTTAGCCATTAGCGCAGTTTGTATTCCGTATTATTTCTAATTGGTTGGTATGAAAGACCATCTCCGAAATCTGTATGCAAACTTTCTTGTTGTCACTTTCATAGAATCTACGTTCGAGGAAGCTTTTTAAAAGAAGGGTAACCTAAAGAAACTCTGGACTCTTGGCGTTCTAGCACTATGCTTTACGCGCGTATCAACAAGATCTGAAACGAACTCTCCTCAACGGTTTTCCCTTTGAGCTAAAATATGAGGAGCACGATGGCGCGGGTGGTTAGCGCGTTCGGCTGCGACCGTTGAAGTTAAGCAACTTTCGCAGTGGTCGGTCATTGGATGGGTGACCAAAAATCTTCTAACTCGAGTTCCTCCGTGCTTCGGAAGGTACGTTAAGCCGTTGGTCCCGGCTGCATCAGCAGTCAAAAGCACCCGCCAATCCGCACTGGGCCCGCGTGGTGGGTCATGGCCCAATCTCCCTGTTCCATCCATAGGGAAGGCCTGTGCCCCAGCAGTGGGATGATGTAACATTTTTCTTCAGAGCCGGCAACGCATGAGTAAAATATAATATATACCATTGGTGCTGCAAGTGTCTATGTATGTGCGGCAGTGACCACTTACCATCAGGTAAACAGCCAGCTCTTTGTCTGCATAAACATAAAAAAAACTATTCTATCAACTCACCGACGATCTTCTCCATAGTCTCTGCCTGTTTGACAGAGGCCATTTCAGCGAAGGCCTTCCTTTCTGCCTCCTTGTTCAGCAACAGTTGGTGGAAAGAAGCCCTCTCTCCGCCAACGAATAAACAGCGAGTGCGATATACGTCGAGGACGCTTTGATATCGCGAGCATTCCTCAAATGTGGGCCAACACTCTATGGACGGGTGGTCTGATGATATCAGCACCACTAGCGGGTCCTGGGTACGGGAAAAGTAATCATTTAAATCAGAAATCAATATATCGTTACTAGTGGCCCACCCTCGCTTCGTTTCGGTGTAGAGCTGTAGTATAGACTATAGCTTTTGTTCTCAGGCTTATATTATAAACAATGTCTTTATTTATAGAATTACTATAGGCACGCGCTGCCGGCCCCGGGTAACCGCTATGTCCCTGCATCTTAAATCTGGAATATCTTCAAAAATACTCATTTCAATTACATGCTGCAAAGGGCCACATTGATCTATGTTTCATGCATAATGTATTTAAGCTTCATACTTCATTGGATAAAGGTTGATGGTGTATTGCTTAAAATCGCTTCGTAAATAAGCCATTATTTCTCTTAAAAAGTAAAGGATAAAAAAATGGTTATTGTGGGTTATCCCTAAGAGATAGACATATACCATCGTGGACTTTTTTGTAGACCTTTTTAAGGTGTACAATATTGTAGTATATTATTTTGATCTATCTCGTAGAGTTCAGTCAGCGTTAGCAATATAAGCGCAAAACATGTGTTTATTTACGACCTTACATTAAAAAGCTCTAAAATTTTCTGTGTTTCTCTACTATATTATGCATGTATTATACATATAAAACCTTCCTCTTGAATACTCCATCTATGAAAAAATACCAAATCAAAATCCGTTGCGTAGTTTTAAAGATCTAAGCATACATAGGGACAGACAGACAGCGGGAAGCGACTTTGCTTTATACTATCTAGTGATTCAAATTGGATGTATAGTACAACTCTTTTGAATCGTCTAATTTTTTTTCCCTACCACTTATTATTGGACATATTTTTTAGCTGCGGAGGAAAACTAGCGAAAAAAACTCCACAACATTAAAAGTATAATGTAATAACATTTGCAAATCGTTATGTTGTTACAACGTCAATACAATCATGATTTGAAATGAAACCTGTTGAAATGTTTGGAACGGTTCAAATCCAAGCCTTTTTGTCTGTAATATAATCAGACACTTTGTAATAAGCTTTTTTAATAAGTGCTTTTTTATACTATCTTTGAATTTATTTATTGTGATAGTAAGATGAGGTGTACGCACAGTATTTTGTTTTATTCATAAAAAGGCTATTTGACAGTATGAAAACCAAGTACCGATTTTGACATGTGTATTTAAGTATTTGTAATTTTTAAATGTAATTTGTGATTTATTGTAGCATTATTAAATCATAAATTATTCTAATTAACGCCCGTGCTGGACGTCACATAGCTATAGGTATCTATTCTTTTGTACTCTAGCTTATGTTTTCATTTTGCTATGACCGCCGTAGGTTTTTAAATGCCTCACGCTCCTCTATAAGCATAGCAATCCCGAAAGGCGGTAGGCCTCTGCTTTATTAATGTGACATGCTTAAATTAGGGTCAAAATGCTCTAAAAACTCACGTTAGGATTGCACATCTTCAACAGCCTCAGCGACTTCCCACACAGCAGTATATATTTAGCCAGGGGCCTTAGAAACTCTGGCACAGCCAAGCTCTGCGTTATATGAAACCCTTTGTCCCAGTACCGTTTGGATCGGCAGTTCACAAATTGTGAGTCTTTGCGGATGAAGAACTCGTTGTAGGTATCGTCTAACTCGCCTTCGAATATGAACTTTTCTATAAACCTAAAAATACAGAGGATACTTAGCAATTTATTGACAGAAGGATCTATAGTAATAATAATATTATTATTTCGATTCGGAGAAAGAGAGTTGCCTCCCTGATCTGTAGGCCTATTCGTTAATTGCTTTCGACAGATGGTAGTGATAATCACCGTGTTATTTAGTGATCTACTACTGCTTTATTAAAACGCCACTAAGATACTTGTTCTGAAAAGCATCGATGGATATGCAATTTCATCTTTAGTTACAAACTGTAAATGATAAATAAAATGAGTGATCCACTACTGCTTTATTAAAACGCCACTAAGATACTTGTCATTCGGCTCTGGAATGCACTTCCTCTAGACGTTCGAAACGCTCCAAACAGGACGGTGTTTAAGAGTTCGGTGCGGGAACATTATTTGAATCTATTGCATAGTGCTTAAGCTGAATCAGGATACTAAAATCGGACACTATATTATAGGTATATTATATATATATTTATGTATATATGTGTGTGTTTGTATTTATATTTATGTTTGTATGTATGTATATGTGTATGTATTAAACGCTATTTAATTTTGTTTTTTTATTGTTTGATGTTTGTTCTTTCCCATGATTGTCTGCCGTTTTATTGACTCTGCACGTTCTTTCCGGTTGACTGGTAGAGAATGCCATGCCGGCATTAAGTCCGCCATATGCAATGTAAGGCATTAAAGATTAAATAAATAAATAAATAAAATACTTGTATTGAAAAGCATCGATGGATATGCAATTTTCTCTTTAGTTACACACTGTAAATGTCAAAAAAGTTGTTGAATAGGCCAGCTGGTCTCGACCTATATTTTTAGTAGCTTTTAATTTGCTATTAAATACCTCTCGGCAAACGAAAATATTGTCTTTTTTAAGTCAATAATTTTAATGTTTATAGAAATGAATATACATTTGAAATATCACAATAGAATTAGTTTACTTGCATTAAAAATACCCTACAAATTCTCGGTGAGTACACTCCACGAATTCGAACGGGGGTAAATTTTTGGAGTTCGGATTAAAGAGCTCCTGCTATATCATGAAAACAATCGTGGTTGTTAATAGAAAGAATAAGCAACCACGACTTAACTACGAACATTTAAAATTCCCAGATGTTTTTTTTTTTAGATAAATAAACCTACATTTAAGGTACAGTATGAATCCTCCAGTAACTCCTTTTCAGAAGTCTGATTATTATTTGGACGCGACCAAAGTCATGGCCATTTGTTGAAATTTTGTTTTTGCTGCCTTATGACGCGATTAAACTTGCTCGTTAGCCCGAATACGAGTGCCAATGGCATTCGGGTAAATAACTAAGTGTCAATGAACGGAGTCGAGTTCGCCCGTATTCGAGTAAATTTCCTTTTGTGTACCCATTGAACTATATTACTAACGCATAGAAAAGACACCCAGAACAAAAAAATTGATTCATTTTGGTATGAGTTAGAACTAAAGTTCGCTGCCACGCTAAAACAATAGTTATGTCATCCAACCAAACTATTAAAACATGCAGCGCTAGATCACTTACAGGGAATAGTTTTCTCGCGACCAAAACGTCATAAGCGCCGGGAATTTCCTGGCGCTTACGCGTTTCGTTCAACGTAGAGTAACAACAAGTCGCTCTCATAGATTTTACACTGCAGAAGTGACACCTTTTGTACCTACTACAATCTAAAACTCTGCCATCATCATTTCAGCCGAAAGACGTCCACTGTTGGACATAGGCCTCCCCCATAGATTTCCACAACGATCGGTCCCATGCTGCCCGCATCCAGCGGCTTCCCGCGACCTTTACCAGATCGTCGGTCCACCTTGTGGGGGGCCTGCCAACACTGCGTCTCCCGGTACGCGGTCGCCACTCGAGGACCTTTCCGCCCCAACGGCCATCGGTCCTGCGAGCAATGTGCCCTGCCCATTGCCACTTAAGGTTTGCAATTCTGTGGGCTATGTCGGTGACTTTAGTTCTCTTGCGTATCTCCTCATTTCTGATTCAATCACGCAGAGAGACTCCGAGCATAGCCCTCTCCATTGCCCTTTGGGTGACTTTGAGCCTTCTTACAAGACCCATTGTAAGCGGCCACGTCTCGGTTCCGTATGTCATCACTGGCAACACGCACGAATTGAAGACTTTCGTCTTGAGGCACTGCGGTAGATGTTCCGAGAAGATGCTACGTAGCTTCCCGAACGCTGCCCAGCCGAGTTGGATTCGTCGATTAACCTCTTTCTGGAAGTTGGACTTACCCAGTTGGACTATTTGTCCCAGGTATACGTACTGGTCAACAACTTCCAGTGTAGAGCTCCCAACAGTCACTGGAGTGGGTACGACATGGGAATTCGACATGATTTTCGTCTTGTCCATGTTCATTTTGAGACCCACTTGTTGGGACACCCTACTGAGGTCGCCGAGCATTGTGCCAAGGTCATCCATGGTCTCAGCCATGACTACGATATCATCTGCAAATCGAAGGTGCGTCATGTACTCGCCGTTTATGTTGATGCCAAGTCCGCTCCAGTCCAAAAGTTTGAAAACGTCTTCCAGCGCAGCTGTAAACAGTTTCGGTGATATAACGTCACCCTGTCTTACACCACGCTGCAGCTGGATTGGCTTCGTGTTTTGGTCCTGGAGTCGAACTGACATAGTGGCGTTTTCATACAACGACTGCAACACTTCGATGTATCGATAGTCTATTTGGCACCTTTGGAGTGACCGAAGCACGGCCCATGTCTCGATCGAATCGAAGGCTTTCTCGTAGTCCACAAACGCCAAGCATAATGGCAGGTTATACTCTTCGGTCTTCTGTATAACCTGCCGCAGCGTATGGATGTGGTCTACGGTACTAAACCCTTTTCGGAATCCGGCTTGTTCGGGAGGCTGGAAGTCGTCAAACCTGCGCGCGAGACGATTCGTGAGGACTCTCGAAAACAATTTGTATACATGACTCAGGAGCGTGATGGGTCTGTAATTCTTCAATTGGGCCCTGTCTCCCTTCTTGGCCCTCGAGTATGACAGAGCTAAATAGCTTCTGAAGAGATTTCAAGACTGGTCGTCCACCTGCTTTCAGAAGCTCGGCTGTAACTCCGTCATCACCCGGCGCCTTTTTGTTTTTGAGCTGTTTCAGAGCTACACTAATCTCGTACAGGCTGACGTCCGGGATATCTTCGGTGTAGTGTCGGGTTAATTTGGCTCTTGGGTCGGTCGCCTTTGTGACAGGTACTCGTGATGTCGCGTATAGCTGTCCGTAGAAGCTTTCGATCTCAGCCATAAGCTCAGGTTGCGACGAAATGATTCTGCCGTCCTCTGTCTTCAGCTTCGTCAGCAAACTCTGTCCAAGAGACAGATTTCTTGCGAACACTTTCGAGCCTTTGTTCCGCTCGATGGCCTCTTTAATACGATCAGTATTAAAGCGGCGTATGTCGCGAGTCAGAGACTTCGAAATCTGCCTATTGAGCTGCCGACGTGCATCTTCAGAGGACTGCAGACCCATCTCACGCCTTTTCTCCATGAGCTTGAGAGTCGGCTCCGAGATCTTGCTACGTTTTTTGGTACGGATGGGCTTGCAGAACTTCGAGCCCACCGTAAGGACAGCTTCAACAAACCTGTCATTATAATTGTCCACGTCTACGCAGCTCTCTAGGCAATCGAAGCGATTTTGCAGTTCGAGTTGAAAGCGCTCGGGGTTTTGAATCTGGATGGCTTCAGGACGGAGCGTGGACTTCATCAGTCGATTCCTTTCGGCTTTGACATTTAGATTCAATGTGCCTCTTACCATTCGGTGATCGCTCCCCGTATTGAACGAATTGATCACTGAGACATCATTGAATATCCGAGTCTTAGTCGACATGATGAAGTCAATCTCATTTTTTGTCACGCCATCCGGACTTTTCCAGGTCCATTTTCGATGCAGCCGTTTTCTGAAGAAGGAGTTCATCATAAAGAGTCCCTCCTTCTCCATGTAATCGGCTAGCATTTGACCTCGGAAGTTCCGGATTCCAACTCCAAATTGCCCCACTTTCAACTCATCATCGCCACGTTTGCCCAGCCTTGCGTTGAAGTCCCCCATGACAACGGTGTAATGGGTCCTAGAAGCATGCATTGCCCGAGAAATATCCTCATACATGACTTCCACTTCCTCGTCGGGGTGCGTCGAGGTCGGAGCGTATACCTGTATGACCTTCAACGAATACCGTTTGGTGATTCTGAGTATAAGGTACGCCACCCTATTCGACACACTACCGATCTGTACAACATTGTTCACGAGAGACTTGTGGACAACAAACCCGACACCACCCTGGGACAGATCTTCGCCCTCCCGGAAATAGAGCAGGTTGCCGGATTTAAGGACCATCGTGTCCTCGCCCTCTCTTCGGACTTCAGATAGTCCTACAATACTCCAGCGAATCCTGCTCAATTCTTCCTCCAGTTCCAGCAGCTTCTCCTCGGTCCGCAGTGTGCGTGCGTTGTACGTTGCCAGGGCCAAGGTCGTTTGACGGGGGATTTTTGCCGCCCGGGGATTCTTCGCACCCCTGGTCCCGGCGCCGAGTCGGCGTCCGTCAGCGCCGCCACGGACTCCAGCACCGCCGGGCACTTGGGGCCTCTCATTATGTACCGTCATTTTAGGGGGGTTTTGGGCCGTCTCCCACCACGCTGGCCCAGTGCGGGTTGGTGGGGAGCGCCAGAGCCTCGTCCGTTGGTCGGCAGGGTACACCGCGGGCAGGTGAGGTTGGCTTGGGTGCCGTTGGGTGTTAGGCGGCACCCCTTATACCCCCAACCCCAACTCTGCCATATCATTAAATAAATAAATGAAGTGAAATAAAAATCTTTATTTATTACACAAATTCAAAATAAATCAACACAAATTATATTATTTAATTGCCTTTAAACAATATAAGTTTAGTGAGCTTTTGAACACAACCAGGCATTTGGATGTTGTTATTTATGCGAGCCAAACACAACTCTTCCCTACGGGCGCTAGATACTTACTGGACAGTTGCGGTACAGCGTACCGCAAAGCGTGGCGCAAAATCATGCAACGCGTTGTCTTCTCTATACGTAGTAGTAATACCTCAGTGTGTGTACCCGACACCGTCTTCCAGCCCGTATTCCAATGTAAATATAACTTCGGGTGGCCGAATTCGAGTAATGTCTTTCGTGCACCCGAACACAGGCTAATGACCAAATATTATTGCGCCATTAGACGCTAAACCCCGTATAAGAGGCTCAGGAATGGTGAGAGTACTTCACAAGTTGCAACGGCAACCTTAAGCCGGGTATCCACTTAGGTTCGCCGTGGTTTGCGAACACTGTGTGCTCCGCGAACGTGAACGTGTACAGTGTACACACTTAGGCTGCAACATCAGTCATCAAACTGCGCTCCCGTTTGAGATCGCGCAAAAAACCGCTTCCCGAGCGCTCCGCCGTGCTCCGATCGTGCTCCAGTCGCGCTCCGCGATCACGACGTATCCATTATGTTTGGTTTGCGGAGCGGGCGCGTTCGCAAACCACGGCGAACCTAAGTGGATACGCGGCTTTATATTCTGCCACGCTCGAGTAAATCCCAAAAACCCTGCTTGGGCTCTCCTACTATTAGGACTTAGGTCAACGTTAAATGATATCTAGCCAGGCTTACAATAGGGTATTTGACAGTATTAAAAATAAAGTGCCAATTGTTAGCATCTGCGTTTAGAATGAATATTGGCAGGGGTTTTTACTATTTTTACAAAAAAAATATTCATAATTTTACTAAAAACCCACGAAAAAGATAATCGTTTTCTTATCTATTATCACGTGACCCAAAATGCTTGGGATTGGCGGAGCCTAAAATGACGTCACACACAAGTAAACTTCCGGTTAAAGTGACATTACATTGTATCGTTTGACGTTTTAATAACAGTCGTGTTACGTAAACACACTAGTAAGACGCCATATTGTCCAGAAAAACGTTTTCGCGGCAACTTGTAAATGGAGTTTTTGATTTGGTTATTTTTACTGAAATACACAATAGAATGATAAATATCCACATTTTATACGGTATCCATAAACATTAGTCAATAACGTGAGATCGTTTTCTAAAACTTGTCAAATACCCTATTGCTCATTTTTGAATTTATACTTCTTTAGGCGCGTTATGAGAAAAAGATGAGAGTGAAATTTTAAGATGCGCGCGCATCACTGTAACACAAAAGTAACACCATGAAGCTGGCCGCTAAACCGTACATTAAGTCTCGAAAAAAAGCTACCAACAAAATAGAAATAGAATCTCTATTAGCCGCGCATGTTGGCACGCTCGTTCATCACTGTTCATATTTATAATATTTAACCACTTGATTCTAGTTTCTATATTCACAACACAATCTGTGCTAATAAATTATATTCAGTAGTGATTTAAATTGACTATTTTGATTATTCTTTTACTTTAGGTACATCTAATTTTAAAGAAGGGAATCGCAATCTTTTATAGGCTACCGTGATATTTGCATGTTAATCCATACTAATATTGAATATGCAAAAGTGTGTCTATCTGCATATTATCTCTTCCCGCTTAAAACGTTGAAACGATTTAGATTAAATATGGTAAAGAGAAAGTTTGAACCTCGGGAACGGCTTTAGAATAGTTTTCATCCCAGAAATCGTACTTTAGGGGGTTAAAAAAGGGGCTACAAGTTTGTATGAGAAACTAATTTTAACAATTATTTCTGCGTGCAGATAGTCGCGGGCACTTATCATTTAAATGACAAAGACATGCACACAAAATCATGAACTTAAAAAAAAAAAAAACGACGGGTTGCACTGCAGGAGTGCCGGCAGATGTGAAAACTTGAATAATAACGTTGTGCATTTTTGATATTTTGGAATGGTTAGAGAATAATTTTGCACGAATTGCTTTAATTATCAGTATAAAAGTACTATCATGTATGTGGTAAAATACAATATTTATGTATTGCGCTATCGTTCACAAACATGACAATTAATATTACATTAAAAAAGTTTATCTCTCAGAAAATCAACTTACATGAATCACGTTTAAGCGCACTTAGCGAACATCTATTGTAAAGAAATCAACCTACATGAAACACTTAAGCGCACCTAGCGACATCTATTGTAAAAAAAATGCATTTTCTTCGCAATAGAGCTGCCACTTGGCCGTCCTAGATAGAGACTTATTATTATAATACGATAAAATAAAATATCACTATGTTTCGTCCAATATATTGAAAGTCAACAACGTTTCCAATTTTATTGTGTCATGATGCGATCGGCCCACGTGTTTAACCTGACGCGAGTTTAACATTTTTTACCCATACAAAAAAAAAGTGTACAACGCCGCTAAAGATGTTTTCACTTCAAAAATGCACTTCTTCAACTGCCAGTTTCAATAATCAACCTCCAGTAAAAGGTATGGATAATCTGTTTCCGTTTCTTAGCAATGATTATCTTAATAGTCTTAATAATAAAAATGCCTTAGCAAGTAGGCCATTTCTTTGCTGGAGGTTGATTATTAAAACTAGCCTTTAGTAAAACGTGTAATATAATAAAATCAGGAATACTCACTTGAAATACACCTTGCAAATGGAGAACAGTGACGTAAACATAGTGCGGGAGGTGTTCGTGTGGGTTACCAGAGATATTTCGTTGAACAAATACGACATCAACTCGGCGCCGTACGGCAACGACGACTTTACTTCTAAAACAATATATAATAAATAAATATTTGTAAAACAGACACCAATTGACGACCTCCGTAGCCGAGTGGTTTGTACGCCAGGTTTCAGAGTGTCGCTGACTCGTGAGGTCTCAGGTTCGAATCCCGGTAGGGGCAGATGTTTGTGTAATGAATACGAGCATTTGTACTCCAGTCATGGAGGTTTAATAAGTATTTCTATATAAAAATACTTATATATGTATCAGTATATGTATTGTATCCGTTACCCCCGTATACCATAACACAAGCCTTACAGTACTTACTTTGGGGCTAGGCTAATTGGTGCGAGTGTTGGAAATAATTATTTACTATTTATTTATTTAATAAGCCTAGCCAAAGTAAGCAATGTAAGGCTTGTGTTATGGGATACTAAAGAGTAGAAAAGACTGATACATATTTAAGTATATTTTTATATAGAAATATATATAGCCAGCCATGACTTAGATACAAATCTCGAGCATTTGTATCTGAGTCATATTAATCACCCAAACATTTGCCCCATCAGGATTCGAAACCGGGACCTCTGCGTGACGACAACTTGAAACCCGGCGATATACTCGTACCACTCGATCACGGAGGTCGTCGAATAATAATGTAATAGGAGAGGGTCCCAGAACAACTCCCTGAGGAACGCCGTAAACCACACTCACATACCGACATCCACTTTTGCTTTTTGTGTCCACTCATATCATATCACTCAGATAATCTTTGAGTAGATTAAATGACGTACCCCTAATACCTACTCTCGCTAGTTTGTGAACAAGGATGGGGATAGGAACGGTGTCGAACGCCTTTTTCTTGTCTTAAACGACCGCTACTACTAACAACTGCCGCGTAACTATTTTAGTAAGAGACTCGATGGCATCTGCAGTGTATTTACCTGCTAATAGATGAATTGCTAAGAGGGAAGAGATGGATTTTTATAACAATGTTTTAAACGGACTTCAAAAAAGGAATTTCTCAATTCGTCGAAATCTTTATTTATTATGTTCCCCCATTACTCGAGAACGCCTAGACCACAACTAACTACAAACAATATGGAATACAAACTGCACTAAAAAATGGTTCCACGCAAACTGCGATCAAGTAGGCGGGGCGAAAATAATGCGATCAACACGGCCATTATGTGATTGGTTGGAATTTGGAATTTCCGTTTAACTAATGGATAGCCCAATTTATTAGCAGATATTTGATTTGTCAAAGATTTTGTTTAGTCTGTTTGTGTGCATATCGCGTAAGTTTTGAAGTTTAGTGGTTTGAGTTTGGAGCCATGTTTTAGTGGCCTTTGTTAGAGAGTTATGCTTATACTAGCAAACCAGTGAACCAAATGTTCACCAAAACCTGATTTAAAAAAAAATGTATTTAATTAATTGAGAACTTCGGAAATTTTGTGTGGTTTCGTTTGAAATTCGTGATTTCTCGAAAACCGAAAGTGCTACGTTACTCAAATCCGGTTTGTAGTCTTATCAGACTATTCTTAACTTATAACTTAAATATTCTCTTTATCTATCTCTTACGGTTTGGCCGCTGAAACAGCACCACAGACGGACGGACTTGTCTAATAGATAAGAGATATCATGTCTAATTCGTTGCTCGACCGACTTATTTTATAGTTTTGTTTTTAAACTCAAGTTGGGGTTAACATGGATTTGTTAATCTCTTTAATATATAAATAGCTTTTACTCCATCAGAATAGTTAATATAACTTCCTCTGAATATTAGAAAGAACTTTACGCGAATATCGCCCAAAAAATTTACTTACCTGGTTCATTAGTCCTATAGATAGAAACAACAGTTTCGATCTCGTATTTGAGCGGTTCCATGTGATGCAGTATTTGAAGAAGTGTAGGCATACAGTTTAGGTCCTCAGATCCACTCTTGGTACATTCCTCGTATATCTCAGTGGCCAACAGGCGAAATTCTAACAAATATTGTCTGACTACTTCTCTGGCTGCCTGAAATGTTGGTGATAGTGTAGTTCCCACAAATAGCAGCAAAATTATACGATCGTCAACTTATTTCCTGTGTACCTTCAGCTGTTACCTAAAGGCACAGCTATTTTAAGTGGCAATTTTAACTTAACCTAAACTCTTGGCCATGAAACTTGGGTGCTATTATCTAACATAAACTCTTTTAGTTTTCCCCTTTAAAGTTTAAGAAAAGTGATAATGTGTCATGTGTCAAAGTTTCTAAAGTTTGTAAATGCGATTGTAATACGTGTTCCCGAGCATGACGAGCATCAACATCAACAATCATATTTTATGCTAAATAATATACTTTTTGTCACCAAAGTAATGACCTACCCTATATAATGAGGGTTGAAAAAATTTATAAAACTTCTTACCTCATACACTAAACCTTTAGTATGGAAGTGGTCTTCCAAAGACTGGTTAAAAGCGAATCGGTACAAACTCCTATAGTAAGTGCCGATGAGCAATAAGTCTGTCACGTAGTTTCTTAATCTCTCCAGAGATATGCCTTCTAGAATGAGATCTTGCTTCATGTAGAATCGGTTCGACTCCTCGCTGAACGGAAACGAACTGGTTTCAATGCCGACTGTTTGGGTAAAAGCATCATCGTAAGTCATTAACGTATAAAAACAAGTAGGCTCAAATAATGTTAGAAGCACGCGTACATTCGACTATTATGCGTAAACTTCAATAATTTTGTAAACTCTCATTAGTATACAATTGACATTGAACTTTACTGCCACGACATAACGTGTTAATTTGAAGTTATCTGGAGAAGTTGACGTAGAACGCCCGCGGCTCGGACGTTTTTTGATGCGCTTTTGTTAGGCGATTGGGAGTCTCCTTATTTTTATACTTTAATGTCATAAGTTTATAAAATATCAAACATTCTACATAATATATATCATACATTTACTCCATTCATAATAATAATATAATAACAAGTGGCTTTTTGTTACGCTTACACACTTAAATTGTTGAATTGATTTTGATGGATTCTGGTACGACGACCTACGACGACGACGTGAAGGGAGGCCCTTCTATCAGATTACAATCGTAGCTACAGCCCAAGCTGTAATTACGCTTGCTGCTAACTTCATACATAAACTTTGAAAACGTACTCACTAAGGAGATACATCGGATGCCTGATGAACTGCGTCTCTGATACGACGTGCAGGGAGTCCCTTCTATCAGATTACAATCGTAGCTATAGACCAAGCTATAATTAAGCTAGCTGCCATCTTCATACACAAACTTTGAAAATATACTCACTAAGGAGATACATGAGATGCCTGATGAACTGTGTCTCTAATACGACGTTGAGAGATTCCATTCTGCCTGCATACAATCGCCGCCACAGGCCGAGCTGTAATTACGCTTTCTGCTAACTTCACACATAATGTTTGAAACTGTACTTACTAAGGAGATACATGAGGTGCCTGATGAACTGCGTCTCTGATACGACGTGGAGGGAAGTTATACTGCCTGCATACAATCGCCGCCACAGGCCGAGCTGTAATTACGCTTGCTGCTAACTTCATACATAAAGTTTAAAAATATACTCACTAAGGAGATACATGAGGTGCCTGATGAACTGCGTCTCGATAAGACGTGGAGAGAGGCCCTTCTATCAGATTACAATCCTAGCTACAGCCCAAGCTGATATTACGCACGCTGCTGACGTCATACATAAAGTTTGAAAATTTACTCAATAAATACATGAGGTGCCTGATGAACTGCGTCACTGATACGACGTGAAGGGAAGTTATACTGCCTGCATACAATCGCCGCCACAGGCCGAGCTGTAATTACGCTTGCTGCTAACTTCATACATAAAGTTTAAAAATATACTCACTAAGGAGACACATGAGGTGCCTGATGAACTGCGTCTCTGATACGACGTGGAGAGAGGCCCTTCTATCAGATTACAATCCTAGCTACAGCCCAAGCTGATATTACGCACGCTGCTGACGTCATACATAAAGTTTGAAAATTTACTCAATAAATACATGAGGTGCCTGATGAACTGCGTCACTGATACGACGTGGAGGGAAGTTTTCTGCCTGCATACAATAGCCGCCACAGGCCGAGCTGTAATTACGCTTGCTGCTAACTTCATACATAAACTTTGAAAAACTATTTACTAAGGAGATACATGAGGTGCCTGATGAACGGCTTCTTTGATACGACGTGGAGGGAGGCCCTTCTATTAGATTACAATCGTAGCCATAGGCCAAGCTATAATTACGCTGGCTGCTAACTTCAAACATAAAATTTGAAAAAGTATTTACTAAATACATGAGGTGCCTGATGAACTTCATCTCTGATACGACGTGGAGAGATGCCATTCTGCCTGCATACAATCGCCGCCACAGGCCCAGCAGTAATTACGCTTGCTGCTAACTTCACACATAATGTTTGAAAATGTACTTACTAAGGAGATACATAAGGTGCCTGATGAAAGTCTTCTCTGATATGACGTGGAGGGAAGTCATTCTGCCTGCGTACAATCGATGCCACAGGCCGAGCTCACGAGACGAACTCGCTATGAGCTGCCTCTCGGTCGAAGGCGGCATCTTTGCTATCATAGTCGAATAATTTACATGTAAAACACACTGTAGACCAAATTCTTTTTTTACTTTGGGCGACCGAGAGCATACTATCCAAACTAAAGGAATTTAAATTGAAATTTATATTACTAACCACAAAAAATTGACGATGGGTAGGCTTAAAACCAGCTGCGCTGTGCCTATTCCTATTTTCAATCATATTTATTAGTTGTATATAATGTAATAATAAGATATGGAAATAAAGGACTTATATTTGTATTTTTAATTATTTGTAACTAATATTATAAATGCGGAAGTGTGTCGATCTATCTGTTAGGGCGTGCGCTGCCTTAATCGGTCTACCCGCCTCACGCGGCGCCGCTCTATGAAATAAACATGCAACAACATGCGGACCGAACGTCCGCTCCCGCTAAAGGCAGCGCACGCCCCTTTCATTAAGATGAAATTTGGTATACAGTCTCAATCTTGGGGAAGCACATAACATAGATTTCATGCCTTTAAAGCGACGAGAAGGGAGTGGAAGTTTGCATGGCAAACCAATTGACCACCTCCGTGACCGAGTGGTTTGTACGCCGAGTTTCATGGTGTCGCCGACTCGAGAAGTCCCGGGTTCGAATCCCGGTGGGGGCAGATATTTGCGTGATTGCTCCAGTCATTTATTTATTTGCAAGAAAAGTGGTACAAAAGGTGTTACATTATTTGTCGAGATACGCACTATTCACCAGAAAATAGCATACAAATTTTATAAGTATCTAATAACAAAAGTGCACTATCTATAATCCGTCCAAACCAAGGGGTGAAAAAATTAAAACTAGCAGATTACTGTCGTCTTTAACATAACCCCATAAACTCTTCAACAGAATAAAAAAAGTTCCCAATCAACCAAGTTTTAAGTTTCCTCTTGAAAGTATTTAAAGGCAAAATCTTGAGATCATCCGGCAAACTATTACAAATACATATCGCATAGTCATACAATACGCATTTCTATGGAACAGAGCCGTAGTTTTTTGAGGAAGAACTAGGGCATTAGGGTATCTACTATTAAAACTAAAGTAATCATTTTTCTTTTTAAATAACTCGGGGTTAGTTTTGGCAAACCCGAAAACCTCAAAAATGTACATGCAACGTAGAGTCAGCAGCTTAAGCTGTTTAAAGAATGGTCTAGGGGATGTACGGCAATCAATATTACAAATAGCACGAATACATTGATTTTGTGCGACAAATGCTTGATTTAAGTGACATGAGTTACCCCAGAGAAGAATTTGGTACCTCAATAAGCTGCCCATGATAAGCCTGAATAGCAGTATTTTTGTTACTAATCTTAGTTAACCTCCACAAGGAATAAACAAATGAATTTATCCTATTGCAGAGCCTGTCTATATGATCTTTCCAAGAACATTCGTCGTCAATTATCAAGCCCAAAAAATGTGTTTGTAAAGATTCATTAATTAGTTCATTATTGAATGTCAATTTCAAATCATTTTTTCTACCGTTTTTATTTATAAATTGAATAAATGTCTTCTTTAAATACACTTTTTATTTATTTTGTTTTAGCCAGGTTATTATTTTAGATACTGCTTCATTTATTGCACCATTATAATGTTTCTTATCACTACACGGTATAACGATAGATACATCATGAGCAAAGAGTGTGCAGTGATGGTCTATGACATCTGGGAGATCATTAATAAAAAATAAGAATAACAGAGGACCCAGTATGCTGCCCTGTGGTAAGCCTAGGGTTTTTTTTTTTTGACGTTGATTGTTACTGTTTTATTTTCATATTGTCGTCTGTATTTGTTATTTCTACATATTGTGTTCTATTAGTTAAATATGAAAACAACTATTCATTTACCTTACCTCTCATACCATATATCGGCCCCCACCTTAAAGGTAACATTTTCACTTACATCTTAGTCTTAGTTTCAAAATTTAGCAGTAACCCTTTTGGACCAGTAATTCTGTAGCATATTTAAATAAATTGACAACCCAAAATGAATATGGATTTGCATTAAGCTCCCCTTGCGATTAATTGTTCATTGCTCTCCCGGCTAACAATAAGGTACAGTCCAGGCGCCCGAATATTCTTTTTTAATTGATTTCGGCCTGTCCATTTCAAAAATTTATTACTAACTATTACATTTGTCACCTTGCTTGTATTTTTATCATTACAAGGCTTAAGAGAAGAGAGAGAGAAAAAGTCGCTACAGGTGTTTTTTTTTAAAGAATAGACACTTACAGTTCAATCAGTTATTATGAAAGCAATCAAATGTATGTTAAGCTTATAGCAAAGTGCGTATACAAGAATAGGGGGACTGTATGACTAACATCTGTGTTTTGTCATTATTCAATATTATGCCATTATCATGGGCCCATTTAACAACAGCCATTATCATAGTCCCATCTAACTAAATCTAGCAGTTAAATGCTGAAAATAAAATATTGTAAGCTAAGTAATTGTTTATTACAACCAACAAAGTGTCAAAACTAAAAATAACATAAAATTGTATAAATACTGTTCTTATGAATACTCACAAACAAGTTCCCAGATATTATCAGGCAGCTCTTTGTCCAGTTGCGTTGCTAACTCCCAAATGTCTAAAGAATCCTCATCCGTATTAGCTCTGAACACCTCATTTACTTCAGACTTGACACTTGTATTGTTAAATGATATCTACAAACATTTGTGATTATTCTAACAAAAATATTAGACTATAATGTGTTCGTCTGTACTAACACTGGATGTAGGCTTGTATATGTTGTGTTTGTCCATTTCTCAGGTTTGTATAAGAAAGACTTCAGTTGGCTTGTTGCCTATAACTATCCAAATTTTTTAATTAAATTATTATTACAAATACATTTTACTTTCACGGTCACATGAAACAGCAAGGTATACAAAAAATTGGAAAAAACTGAGCCGAAAAAATCTCGACACTGGCGAACCCCATACCGCCAATAATAAAAATGAAAAAGAAGAATTGCATGCAGTATAATTATCAAATTGATTTGCTATTGCTGTCTGTAGAATATTAATCATATTGGTAGATGTTACTACTGCATGTATAAGTAAAACATAGTTATTATTTTTTTATAATAATATTTTTTAAGCATTCATCATCATCATCATCATCATCATCAGCCTATTAATTTCCCCACTGCTGGGACACAGGCCTTCCCTATAGATGGAAAAGAAAGATTGGGCAATGACCCACCACGCCGGCCCAGTGCGGATTGGTGGGTGCTACCGACTGCAGATGCAGCCGGAACTCGAGATACTAATTTTTGGTCACCCATCCAATAACCGACCACTGCAAAAGTTGCTCAAGTTCAACGATCGCAGCCGAATGCGCTAACCACTTGCGCCATCAAGCTCCTCAATTTTAAGCATTTGTCAACCTTTATTTACTACATCATTTTTTTTCAAGTAATAATTTTCCTCAAATGGTTAAGCTGCTGTAAGAGGATATTTGAAATATTTACTTCATTATAATAATTAATTCCCCCTGATAGTAAGCATTTAAATCACTGCCTAAAAGGTACACCCTAATAACTACTAAGTACCTTAATATTAGGTTCATTGATTGATGAAGGTATTTGCAAATCTCGAGGAGCAGTTAATCTCGGATACCGAAACATGACACTCTCCGAGTAGGGCGACAGATGCGTTGATGTCATGGAAGCCAGTGACATAGGACTAAGAAATGTCTTTACATCTGAAGTCCCACGCAACTGAGACCCGGTATCACCCAAGTCTAAAATGAAAAAAAAAACATCATTATCATCTACATATTGATATCCACAATACTGGGGACCGACTTTGCTGAATAACACTGACTTCAATCAAAAACTGAACGACACTGGCGTCAATCAGAAACTAAACGACACTGGCGTAAATTAAAAACTGAACGACACTGGCGTCAATCCGAAACTGCATGACACTGGCATCAATAAAAACTGAACGACACTGGCGTCAATCAGAAACTGAACCACATTGGCGTTATCAGAAACTGAATGACACTGCCGTCATGCAAATCAGCAATTTTTCAACTTAACGACTCTGTATATTATATACAAGGAGAAAAAAACAGCCCTTGCTGAGTTTCTTGCCGGTTCTTCTCAGTATAAGGTCTCCCACCGTAGTTTTGTGAACCGATGGCGTAGCTGCTAGACCTTCACAAGTGCTTGTAACAGCCTAGACTAAATGATTTTTGAGTTTGAGTTTATTTTTATACCAACTCAACTGAAAATCAAACTTATACCTCAGGACAGTGTCTATGGACAAGTTAAGGTGGCCCATTAACAGCTTCCAGCCATTCAAAGCAGCCGGACCAGATGGCATCTTTCCGGCTCAAGCCTAGATCAATCACTGAGAATCTTTCTATAATACGGGCCTTAAGACTCTTTTCATAAATTCAATCATAATAATAGATGGAAATAATACTCACATGACTGAGAATCAAAACTCTCAACAGTATATTCTGTGTAAGTTTGAGATTTATGGTGATCAAGCTTGCCTTCTTGCCTCTTTAGCGAAAACGGTAGATCGAACACATGTGGTGGGAAATATGAATAAGGTTGGGGCGAACCAAACGCTTCTTGTGGAGGCTTCGGTAACATCTCATCAAAAAGGCCAAATGAAAAAGGTTTCTGAAAAAATATTTCAAAATCAGTTGAGTTTTAATAACAATGTCATTAGATCTGTTAGTTTAATTTTTATTTTTGAAAATTAATAATAAGAAATATTTAATATGCTATATGTAGACTCATAATTATAACGTAAAGTCGAGACGCAAGGTGGCATGCCAGTTGATTCATGTGCAAAAAGAGGGTGGTAATTTCAAATGATGGGAGAAGCATTGGTCGGCAGAGGCATTCTGGTAAGTATCATTGAAGTAAACGGATCTACCTAAAGCATCACTTAGTTTATTGCAGTAATTTGATACTTCATGCTGTGCATTTTGAGGTTTTAAGTTCTTGTCTTACCTTAAGTCTGTAGTAATGTTTTGATAAATTGGTCTTATGTCTAATGAATGCAAAAAAAACAAACACACCTGGTACATTTCTGATGACAAATCATCTTTAACAGTATTGCTCAAACTAACTAAAAACTTTAGTACACTGTTAACATTATCCTTAATTTCACCAAAGTCTTTTTGCCGAATTGTACTAATGACCTTCTTCAACTGTACACATCTCCTGTATTCGGCCACATTTTTAGCACTTTGTTGAGCGACTAGATAATAAGACAACAAATCAACCATTGGATCTCTTTCAGAAGAAGGAATTTTTGTTGTCGTTTTCTTCAAAATAATTTCATACGCATAAGTTCTCATTTTGTTAGCTGACCGCTTAAGTGATATACCGTTTTGATGGCTATGTTTTGAAGCAAAACTGCTGCTCAGCTCTGAAAGAAGCTCAAAAACTCCGTTTTCAGAATTTCTCTCTGTCATCCCCATTTTATCTTGCTTTCCAGTAACAAAGAACAAAACTTCCAATAGGAGTGTTCAGAAGAGCTTTACCCTTTTTTCTTTTTATTATTTAAAGATTTAAGTATTTACTAATACAATTCAACAAACAACACCCCCAACCTCCAATAAAAGTACTCATGCTGTGCCTCCCTCCAACCAAAACAAACCAACAAACAAACACAAACAGACTGGATATGGCCGGAGATGATTGACAATGGTGTCAATTCTGACATGATTCTCTAAACCTAAACTTAAATTTGACAACAGTGCATCTTTGTCATTCTCTATACAGAATGAAAGGGAAAGATTGATGTTAAATTTAGTTTTAAGTTTAGAGAATCATGCCAGAATCGACACATTTAAAATATCAGGGCTGTATGGGTGCTAAAGAGCTGTGTTTCGTATGCCTTCACAAAAAAAATGAAATTATGTCTAAAAAACCAGCCAAGTGCGTGTCTTGCCATGCGCAGTATAGGGTTCCGTTGTTGCCTATCGTTACCACAATATATTGAAATGTTCTTTGTTTCTTAGGTTTTCACGCACATCACTCATTAACTTTATTTATTTATTGACGTTTCGCAGCCTTTTCAGGTCTGCATTGTCAGAATAATGATTTACCGGCGAAACAAACTCAAGAGAGGCTCTCTTGAGTTTGTTTCGCCGGTTCTTCTCACAGGAAGGTCTCCCAATTTTGGAACCGGTGGTAGTTTACGGTAGTTAGGGTCAAATAAATAAATAAACTCAAAATTACAAACAAGAATTTTAAATAAAATACTTTATTAAGTAAATTAAATAATAAATTCATACATAGACAATAAAATTTTAAAAATCTTCCAATGAAATAACCGAACGCTCAATATAAGTCTTTCGAAGGTAGCTCGACAATTTTAAATAAAAAATCATTATTCTGACGATGCAGACCTGAAAAGGCTGCGAAACGTCAATAAATAAATAAAGTTTCGTGCATTAACCCGTAAAAACTAGTTTTATTGAAATGTTCTTTATACAAAGTTGAATTACTATTACATTTAAACTAACAAATCTTAACCGTCAAATCTATCTTAACCGTTATCATTTTCCTTAAAAATTTGATGTTTTGATGTTTGCTCTTTCCTATGATTGTCTGTCGTTTTATTGACTCTGCACGCTCTTTCCGGTTGACTGGTAGAGAATGCCATGCTGGCATTAAGTCCGCCATATGCAATGTAAAGGCATTAAAGATTAAATAAATAAAAATAAAATAAATAAAAATTCATGAAAAGCACTATTATCTTGAATTTTTCCAGGTTTTTCAAGATAATTGTTTAACTTTTAGAAGAAGGCGGGACGCCCTACTCGGACAAAAATTAGCAATTTAAAGTGCAATATTTCGCAAACGGATCCCTAAATCGAAAAATAGTCTTAAAAACCCCTATGTAATTTTAAAGGACCTAGTCAACGATACTCCACACGATGGGGTAGACTATGGCTGCTTGTTGCTTGTTGGGTACATGTTAACTACACGTGCGGGGTTATTTTTTCTTATAAAACCAAAGGAACTACGGTTGATTGACTAATATTTTGTGTTTTTTGTACGTGGCGTGTGTGTTACTGATACTGGTAAGTGCTTTGTGGCGTGTTTTGAAGCGTAGATAATGTGCCCCCTGACAGGGGTGGCAGTCGCGCTGGCCAAATGATAGACCCTATTTCACGTAAGAGAACAGGCTCTGATACTACTGATATCCCGGCCAAAATGAAATCGGTCATTTCAAGTGCTTCCAAACAGCACTCGTATACCATCTCGGAGTTTGCGGAAGGTTCTAAACTCACATACTCTCAAACATATATGGCCCCTTTCATTGTTCATGTATCTAGAACTGAACCCGACCCAGCAACTGGTTTTACTATGAGACTGCTAAGTTTGCTCAATTTCTATAAAAACAGAGTCTCTGGCATTGTAAAGGAAATTATAAAGTCATCAGGACGAGAATGTATTACAAAGTTCACCAAATTCTCAAAAAAAAACTATTCACTATCACAGCCTATCAATGTCTCCACTGCTACAGCACAGACCTACCTATGGAATAGGTACTGCAGATGCAGCTGGTACCAACAGCTTAACGTGCCTTCCGAGGCACGGAGGAGCGAGATAATAAGTTTTTGGTCACCAAACCAATGACCGACCATTGCGAAGTTGCTTAATTTCCACGATCCCAGACGGAACGCGCTAACCACCTGCGCCGTCGTGCTTTTCAAGCGATCGATTTATGATGATGAACTCATATTTTAAAACACAATTCAACAATTTCCTTTTTATAGGTTTACTAAATTGACGTCCATTTCAGACTTTTTCAATATGCGCAAAATTAGCCGATATTAAGCGAAAAAATATAATAACAATTGGGAGAAAAGTTTAAAACGCCCGCTTTTTACGACTTCCCACCGAAAAATCCTCCATTCGTCTTCACCTTTCACGAACGCTGCAAGGTAATTAAAATCACAGATTACTTAGATTATGATGTCGATTCTGGCAAGATTCTCTAAACTTAAAACTAAATTTCATTAGTCTCGCCTTTTCATTATTTATACATAATAACAAGGATGCACTGGTGTCGATTCTAGCATGATTCTCTAAACCTAAACTTAAATTTGACAGCAGTATAACCTTGTCATGCTCTATCTGTATAGAGAATGACAAGGAAACACTGATGTCAAATTTAAGTTTAGATTTAGAGAATCGTGCCAGAATCGACACCAATGATTGTTTTCTTGTTGAATTGACGTTTTCGTGGCTATATTAATGAGTGGTGAAGCTGGACCTGATCATTGACTAGTAGGTACTTTCTGACATTAAAAAAGTTTTAGAACCTCAGATTCTTTGTTTACATTTTGTCTCAGGCCAAAGTGAATATAGTTTAATAACTATAGTTTCAGAGTTTCATGTCAGAATCGATACCTATGTACACAACTTGATAATAAAAAAATATAACCTTAATATTCTTTATCTGTGCTGGGCTACGTTCCAAACGTAAGTTATGAAAGCAAATTTTTACACTGTTGTTAACATTTTGACATATGTTTGTATGAAACTTGTGTCAAATTTGGCTTTTGTTGACCTGGATATAGAACGTAGATTGGGATTGGGAACGCAACGTAGTCTTTGAAATCGTGAAAAAATTGTTGCCCTGCCTGTGATTCTGAATTTGTATTTTTAAAAAAGATTAATTGATTGTATTATAAACTAGGAACTAAGATTTGCATTACTCCACAAAATGAATCAAGCTGATGTCTCAAAGTTAGTTTCTAAGCTTCGCATTAGAGTTCCTGCGGAACCTAGGAAACTTAGGAATATAAAAGGCCCAGAAGGTAGGATAGACAAATTACGTAAAACAGTAACAGGATTAATTAAATACGAAAGAATAGAGCTAAATAGCAATCGAGGTCAAGAGGCTCGTCAATATGCTGAAAGGGTAAGCATCGGGTGGTTTTTTTAGGTTATAAGCTAAAATATTATTTGTTGATTCTGTGATAAATTATTTGTATTATTGTATTATATTATTCTTCCAGTTGATTTCTGAAGCAATCCGCCACGGTGACTGTCACAAACCAACTATGGACATAGCAGATTATTGGCTACTAGAAAAGGAACTGATACATAAACTATTTAAAGTGTTAGTGCCTCGATTTCAAGATAGTAACACATGTTACACAAGGTTGTTGAATGCTCCGAGAATCATTCACTCTCGGAACCCAGATAAAGTGATTCTCGAGTTGAAGGGTAACCCTTACCCCGTGCTAGGCAGCAATAAAATGAATAATAGGTTCCTCATACAGAATGTCCTTCTTGATGCAGCTAAATACGACTATCGCCAAGCAAAGTATGCAGAGTTTGCTAAAAAGATAGTAAATAAAGAAGAAAAGATTGATACTACAGAAACCGAAGCACCATCCATAGAAAAACAGCAATCAGATGATAAATTAACACAAAGTTAAAACAACATATTTTGTTAACTTTAGTTTAACACAGGCATTTTTAGTTTGAATTTAATGATGTGATTTGCAAATGTGAACTAGGATTTTGTTTAGATTGTATAAATAAGCTATACATACTTAAACTATCCTACAACTTTAAATTTTTTTTTTACAACTGGCCGTTTAAGTGGTTATAGTAAAATCAATACTTGTTAAAAATTCTGGTTACTCATTCTTATTCCCCAGATAGTTTTATTCAGATTCACTGTGACAGTGATGGTATAATTAATTTGCATTAAGTTCATAATTTCTGTTGAGAAATGCCTTTGCTGAACAGTGAAAAAAGCCAATAACATACCCATTTGAAAGCCTAGCATGCTGCCACTTGGGTTAATGTGGATGGATCTGTACCTTACCCCTTTTTCTATTAATTTTATTAGTACTTTTATTTAATTAATTATTAAAAGTGGTACTGCCTGGTGATAGCAGAACTTCATACTTGGACTGTGTTTCACATAATTTTCCTGGTATAACAGGTATACGTAGATTATCAAAAAGTATTGAACACATTTTGAAGTGAAAACTTATTTTGCACTGTTGTGATTTGAAACTCAATGAAACGAAAAAGCGACAATATTAGACACAAGGTATCTGTAACTCTCTGCAAGAGACAGATGAACAGAAATGGTCTTGGGGTCAACACCAAATGATCAATGGTTTGATACTGACCTCGGTTACTTTCTAAATTGTTTTTTTTTCATTAATTAAGCTATTATTACTTTTTGGAAACAATTTGAGTAAGTATAGAATATTTCATTTTGCCCAGTATTTTCCAATACCTGAATAGGTAATACGTGTTCAATAGAGGCATAACAACCATGGTGTTTGGTATATGTGATAATTCCGTAGTCTACAGCCGGAGGATGCAAAAAAACGAGATTAAAATTAACATAATTATTAAAATATTTGTTTCTTAGGTTTTCGCGCACATCACTCATTAAATAAAACTAGTTTTTCACGGGTTAATGCACGCTCATTTTCTTTAACATTGTTATTACCAATGCAAAGGAAACAAAAAGAGCGCGAGGCATTTGAAAACCTCAGGCGGCTAGAAATAACAAAATGAAATCGTAAGCGATAGCGTTTTCCAAAGCAATCCAGTTAGGCGATTGGCCCCCAGGTCACGTAGGCCACTGCACGTTGCACCGGCACGTTGCGCTGACTCGACATCACGGGCTGTTGCGATGTTAACTGGATTGCCTAATATACAGGGTGGAAATTTTGAATGCCACCCCCAGGGGAAGTAGGTACTAAATACTGGAGATAGATAATTTTTCTTCAAAGGAAACATTCCTTTATTTTTAAAAAGAAACAACTGCATTCACAGCTTTTCGAAAATTTGCTTGCCACATCCGGGAATCGAACTGGCGAAAATTCGAAAAAACGACACCCTGTATTTTTATGGCATCGATCGATAGGGTCAATCATAGGGATCATATCTTACTAACAAACTTAGTACATTAAATGGAAGGAAATGCGTGAAATCTTAACTGAATGGAACAAGACTAAAAGCAGTTTAATCCCACCAAATTACACGAGTTAGTAGGTATTTTTATTATTTTCGACGTCATTTATTCGTTCAAATAACGATGTTAACAGCTTTGCGGGTCATATAAAATCAACGATATTAAATACCCTAGATACACCATCACGTACAAAATCGTTCGTTGTGGAAACTATCCAAACGTAATTTTATGCTGCAATTCAGGATCATGTTCCTTCTAAAAACTTCGTTTTTCAACATAAAGTTTGGTAAGACGGAGATGTCTATGATAAATACTAAGTAACTGGGTCATACGCCTGTGCCTCATCATCTTGCGAAACTCAATATAATGAATGATCCTAGGTGTGACTGCAGGTTCGATGAGGGAAATGTTGATCACATTGTTTCCCTGTCCTCTGATAGAATAGATCCTTACTTTTTAAAGACTTAGGCGCTTTGCAGACGGCGGGGCGGAGCGGGCCGGTCAATTTCGCCGCGAACGATAGCACAAAGTGAATCCTATACTACAAACGCACACAGAGGGCAAAAAGACCGCGCCGCAGGTGCCCGGCGGGCACTGGCGGCGCGGCATGTACGCGGCTGCCCGCCGTGGATCATACAAACCAGTTTATATGCAGTAACGCAGGGCGGCTAGCTCAGTCCGCGTCACGCGCTTTTTAGTGATGGACTATTCACTAGAACGAACGTCCTGAACTGACTGCCTCTGCCCGTCGTGTGCTTTGTGTACGAAGCGAGGGCAGCCGCAGACATCGACGGGCAGACGCGGTTTTTATTGCTTCGCGGACAAAAAGCCCGCCCCGCCCTTAGAATAAAAAAAAATAGGGTAGATACGGTACGCTCATACTTGCATAAAACAAAAACTGATCATGAACATTACTAGTATATAATGTACTCTATGAAACTGATCCCACGGCAGCGCGAACGGGACGGCAAGATCCGCGTCACTGCATTACCGACCCGAGCGAAACGCACGTTAAGTTTCAACGGCAGCGCGAACGAGACGGCGAGATCCGCGTCACTGCACTATCGACCAATCACGCGACCAGTACTCGACGTCACTACCGAATAAAATTCAAAACAAACACCAATTTTTATGAAAAAATATATTTTATAGTACTTACGAATGAAAAGTGATGACGGCATCACTTTTCATTCGTAAGTACGGGTTTTATTTTTAGTTCTTGAGCAATTTGAGCACTTTTTAAAAACATACTTACCCATTGTTTTATCATATAAACACAAAATATTATCTATATTTCTTTTTGGCGTTCACATGTACGTCGTTTACATGTCAAGTTGTGACCCCTATATACTAGTATACTCTATGGTTGTGACTAAAGCGATTAGGGTAGGGCGGATCACTTTTGTGAGGCTAGTGCCGTCTCTACCCTTTTTGTTTTAATCTAAGGCCCCGCCCCGTCGTCTGCAAAGCGCCTTATTATCCCTTCATATACCATTCCCGACAAATATAGCTACACTTCTTCATACCAATGATCTATTTGTGTATATGTCGTGGCCGTGGTAGAGTTGATCACTTCATGAAATGCTCGAGATTTTCATGAAATGGTCACATTTCATGATGTGGCCAACTTAATTTGACCAGATCATTAAATCGTTAACATTTAACGATTTGGTCATCCACATTTGGCGGGATCGTATAATGAGAGTGTCCATAAAATATTTATTAAAAATCCAGAATATGTAACAACCTGTTTATTGTTATTTAAGTCCGAATTACACAAACATATTTAATCAAATTTTTATAACAAAATAAACAAATTAAAGATTTTTGTTTCTAAATTAAACATCAAACATGTCAAGAACTTACACATTTATATTTAGAAAACTATCAAATATTTAGAAATAATAAGGTACTTTGGTACATATTACAACAGTAGACGTAACTGTTCTTCCAGGGCCCAAACGGTAATACTTCACACTAGGTTAGGTTAGGTTAGTGTTGTAACCATGACGCGCGAACAAAGCGAGAGTGCCGCGGCAACGGCCGGCGCAGCGCCAGAAAAAAAAACTATTAAAGAGACCGTTTCTACAAAAAAAAATCAAGTATGACCTCTTGGGCCCTGGAAGTACAGTTTTGCAGTAGGTATATCTTTGTACGGCATTGATTCTCATCCGCACTTTGTACTTCAACCCCAGTTTCCAAAATGTCATATTTTGACAGCCAGTAATAGTCCATAGATTTCTTTTGCATAGTCACCCTACTCTCCTTAATTTGTTTCGTCGAAAACCCTTTTGTTAACTTTCTTCCTCTTTAAATAACGAATTATGCACTTTTTCACTGCGAGAAACAACATTGTCGGCAGCGGCCGCCGTATAAATATATAAACAAAGCGCTGGCAGCGCCTCTACCGGTAATTAATGTAACTACTTTACAATACGATCAAATAATTTTTGCCATTTCATGAAGTAGCCACGCGTTTAGTTGGCCATATCGTGAAACGATTTCTCATCATTGATGTGGCCAATAGATAGTGAAACATTTCATGAAATGCGACCATTTCATGAAATTTTCGAGCATTTCATGAAGTGATCAAATCAAATCTATGATATACATATACATGTATTATATCTTTCCTTCTGCTCATTAATACAAAACTTTAAATATAAATATATAAAATATCATGAATATATTTATTTTAACAATCATGATCATTTCCAAATTTCGTAATATATCCAATTACTTTTTTCCTATACCGACCGTTTCCTTCATTTTTTACTTGGCATTGGCTGAACGCACAAACAGTGCTTGCTACAAAAAAGAAAAAAAATGAAACCTTTATTTAGGGATGCGATATTGAGTGAGATAATTCGATTACTTACTTTGAAGTGAGTTTTAGTTTTTAAAGTGAAAGATTTAATTACTTCGCTACATTTTTTTTTCATTAATTTTTAGCACGACGCATTATATTTTTAACGCGATAAGGTCTTATAAACACCGGCTATACGCACGAAAAAGTGTGAAGATATGTCATTACTTATTAGTTAGTTCAACGTTCCGCGGTGTGTGGGGTGAGGTCGAGAGGTTTCTTTGACACCCCCTTCCTCCCCCTCGAAGATTACCTAGCCCCCCGGAGCCTAACTCGGGCCCCCATAGAACTACAGAGGCGAGGCGTTGGACTCAATCGAACCGGAACAAAAAGCCCCACAAAACTGCCCCGATGAAAACAGTGAACGCACTGCCGGATTTAGGGAAGGGCAACCGGGGCCAAGGCCCCGGAGCCTCCACAAACGGGGAGCCCCCACAATAGAGACTTCGGAAAAAAAAATCTTTCAAATGCCAGCTAGTAAAAACTAGTAAACATCTTTTCCTTTAATATTTCTTTTTGCTCTTTTACCTTTACCTACAGCCTACAGTACTTTGTACATCTAACATACATGATTATTTGATTATATTAATCTCAGGGCCGAATTAATGGCAGGGCAGGTGGGGCTGTGGTCCAGGGGCCTCCACAACAGCTTAAGAAATAACAAA